TGAATGGGGAAACTTTTGACCTCTTTATGTATATATATATATAGTTTGGAATAATTGCATTGCTTCAAGTGTAAGACACTTAAACTATGGCTTTGTCATTTCCCTTGGCAACAACAGAGCTACGAAAAACAGCATTAAGATAAATACATAATATGATTTTTTTTGAGATGAAGGAAAAGTTTTTCAATCAATTTATCTTTGAAAACAATAATATTTCAATTGTTTAAAAGGAACACAAAAACATATATCTCCCTTTCAAGACAAATAAATGTTGCACCTAATAAAAATTAATTCCTCATTTTGACCTTTACTGCGACACTTCATTAAAACTAGTTTATAACCAATCCTAAACAGTGTAATGAGGATAATGGGTTTCTACCTGGAACTTTAGCGGGGAAAGGAAAATGCCTTTTATTCATGTCTATCTCCAATTTTTTATTGACAACTGAACATTTTAGTGATCTTGGATATTTGACTACAAAGTGTGCTGTGGCACTAACTTTGGTGATTACTCTTGGGAAAGAGAATTGTTTTTTTCTGCTGATGGTTAAATTTTTTAATGAGCATTTTAGTTTTCTAACACATTATTGTCCTAATTATATTGAAGTGCTCTGAACTAATATAAAGATTTTACATTTGTTAGTGATAGGATTTAAAAAAAAAAAGATGGAGATTGCAGCAAAAGGGAAATATTAGCCAGCAATCTTGCAAAATTTCAAATTTCTTGCATATAATTTTCTACAGATATCAAAGAATAATTGATATCTGTAGAAAGTTATATGCCAGGGGTGGCCAAATTGCGGCTCTTAAAAGGATTATTTGTGGCTCTCGATAAATGTACCCGAGTTCTCTTTTCATTTTAATGTTATTATATTTTAAAAAACTGTTGTTGCTCCGTATGTGTTTCAAAATGTCTTTTAAATTACTGACAACAAATATGAAAAACTAAGTGCAACATTGTAACAAATTTCATTTTTGTCCAAGTTAAGAATGATATGACTAATCAAAAACTGCGGCAACAAACATAAACAGTGGCGTAATCGACTGACTCCAGACCGATTAACACGATCTACCAATAATTTATTCCTTTTTTCTAAGAAAAGTAAGCTCGATGGAATATTGACGGAATTCCAAAATGGATTTCAAGATTTGAAATATTTAAATCGTCTCTTCATTTTTTTCGGAATCCATTTGAAATTGACTTAATTCAAGGTGAGTTTTCCATTTCCAGTATAATTATGACCTAAAAAGGATCTGGAGAATTAAAATTAATAGAGATGCAAGAAGATCAAGTTCTACAATTAAAATATAATTGGACGTCGATTACTGAATTTTGGAAATTTGTACCAGAATCAAAGTACTTTTATTTACATGTTTTCAATAAATATGATTTCTGTAAAAAAAATTATTTAATATCTTTTTTACATACCTTTTAAATACGTATTTAAATTGTGGCTCGCAAAAAATTTCGAATTTTGAAAAATTACTCGACTATCGGGAAGCTTGGCCACCCCTGTTATATGCTTTAGTGATTTGTATTTAAAATCACCATAAATGCTTTTTACTGTTTTATCAGTAATGTATCAGTTTGCTTTTTACTTTTAATGTATCAGTATACTTTTTTTTCTTTAACATTCAGTTGTTTTTTCACTACCCTCATATTTTGTCTTGATGAGGTTCTACTGTATTTAATTTTTTCTTTAATATAGTACAGTACAGAACCCGTTATCCGGAAATCAGAAAACCAAATAACCGGAATGAAATTCGATAAATTTTCCCTCCATTTTAGGAAAAAAAAATTTTTTTTTCCTCATAAGATTTCAGGATTTTTCTTTCTTTTTTGAAAGATGTTTACCTTACCATCATTTTGGAAATAGTCATTAGTGTCTTACTTCATTGTTTTTTCTTCTTTTTAAGATTATTTCCAAATAATTTTTTTTTAGTTGAGTTTGGCAATAAAAAAACGGCTTTTTGTAGCGATTCAGAAAACCGGAAAAATCAGTTATCCGGAATAACGATGGTCCCGATCGTTCCGGATAATCGGTTCCCTACTGTAACAGCTCCTTAGATTTTATTTACAATGCAAGGGAAATTATGATTAGTGCCCAACAATTCAATCACTTCCAAATATATTTCATAACTCCAATCATGCAGAATATGTTTTTTTATTTACAATATTAGAAAAAAATCTTATTATACTGATTAAATATTTTTTTAACAGATTTTATTTAAAATGCTGTCTGCTCATCAGATATTCAGAGATTCCAAAGAGAATGTTTTGACTTCTGTGGCCAAAGATAGAAAACTAAGTATGTAAAGAGGCAATAAATTACATTTAGGAGATTTTTCACTTAAGGTTATACGTAAGATTTGAAGTAATTAATTAGATATGTACAAGCATTAATTTTGGTAAAATGCTCGTGTCTGAGGAAAAATATCAAACGAATGAAAATAAGAAATTTTACAAAAACCCGTAAATTAAGAATAATGTAATAAAATTGCATCTTAACTTTGACCACAAAATAAAACTTAAAAAATATTTCCATTTGATGTGAATAATATAAAAGTTAAACTTTTTTTGGTTAAATATTTTGTTTCTTATGGACCCAGTACAATTAAATAGCAAAAATGTTAAACAAAAACTAATAAAATAAATTTTTTTACTAAATCATAAATTCTTATAAAATCGCATGATTTGTTTTAACATTTTGTAATAACGAAACCTCTTCATTTTGTATTTCGTTCTTATTGATCTATCTAGCATGTCTATATTCCTGCAACATGCTATGTCAGTGTGCCTGTAACTTTGTAAAAGCGAACCAAGAAAACGCAAAGATTTGTAGTATCTAAAAAAACATATGCAGTTGCTTCAAATCTTGCGTAAGGAATCTTACCTTACATTAATATATTTTTATTTTTCTGAAATATTTCTCAAAGTAAAAGTGAGTCCTTAATTTGTATTTTTTAAAAACTGATAAAGATCTTTTATTTGATAATAAATCCTGGTACTTGCTGAATTATGTATTATCTGATGTTACTGTGTCTTTGTCTACACAGCATAGGTGCATACATGTCTTGCCATTGATAGTATTTGTATATAAAACAATTTTTTTTTATTTTCGTCATATTTATATTAATTTGTTATTTACTGAATAGCAAAGACAATTTTTCTGTTTGTATTATATCAAATTTTAGATGACTTGGATTGTATAACATACATGACTTGGATTTTCTTACCACTAAAATGCATAAATCTTATAATGTTCTTTTATTTTTGAAGTATATTTTGAAAACATTATTCAAATGATGTATGAATTGTTATAAAAATATGTTCCTTTAGATTTTATATAATGATAGTTTACAGCAGAGCTTGAAAATTATATTTCCTGTAACATGCCCAGATTTTGCATGTGATATGGAGTAATTTTTATTTATTATTATTTTTCTTTTAGTATTTACGAGGGTTGTTTTTCAAGTAAGATCCGTTTTGTTGTGTACGCTAATAGGTAAAGCGTGCATCACAACGAGAGCTTGTGTCGTGTCTTGGGATTCCTTGGGAACCACTTTGCTCAGTTTCAGTTGTGTAGGGAAATTGTACTGTCAGTTCTATGTCTTTAAAATGTTCTAATTTTATAAATAGCCTGCCACGCAGGAGAAACGGTCAGTGGTGCATTTTTAATCTGCAAAAAATCTGTCTGCTGCATATATTCACTGACAGATTTGTTAAGTTACGATTTGTGAAGTAGCAAAATTCCTAGCCATGCTGACAGAGAATTTCGCTACTGACAATGAATCTCTCAGGGTGGCTACGCACCTTGAAAACCTGGAATTATCAAGGATTTTTTTGTACTGGAAAAATCAGGGAATTTAAAAAAAAGGCTGGAATTTTTCTTCAAATTAAATTATTTTACCATCCATTATACCCACCTTATTTAGATGGAAATTTATCGTCAAACAATTGAAATATTATCAATTTGGCAATACTTTGCTTTTATTAAAATTCTCTACATTATCACCCTGCTAAACTGAATGCCATATGAAACTCTCCTGTGGTTGCTAAATGAATGGGGAAACTTTTGACCTCTTTATGGGACTATGCAGTTTTGGAAAGGTAAAGATTGTGGTGGAGGTGGAAGAAAGGGTTAGGATATTTGCTTCTCTTTATAAAAGTTTTTTTTAAAATTTTCTTCTAGTCCGTGGGCTGAATTCCTTTATCTTTCAAGTTTGTTCGGATGCTTTGGGGGCAATTTTTCTTTTAACAAAATGTTTTAGTATTTTTATCTTTATAAAATTCTCCAAGGAATAATTTGTTGTAATTTAATAATAGATTTTTTCTTGTAATTTTTTTCTGAAAGCTTTCGTATTATTTTTTGTTAGCAATGAATTATTTTTTTCTCTGCAAAATCATTACAATTGTTGCATTGATGCTAATTTTCTGGATTTTATTTTCACCTTTAATAACAAATTTAATTTTAAAAAAAAGTTCTTTTACAGATCACCAATTAGATTTTAACATTTAATTCTACGCTTTGTTGGTAAATATTTGATTAATAATTCAAAATTTGAATTTTGTATTAATCACAACGTTGAAAGTTCGTAAATATTGCTTACATTCCACAGATGATATTTCCAAAACTATTTCTCCTTTTACTCTAAAAGCTGGCAAAGACAATTCATCTATGGGAAACACGTTAAATGATGTACGAGCTTAGAATATATACATAAAACAAATATTTATATGTGCTTAGGAGGAAAATGAAATTCGTTTTTTTTTTTTTTTTTTTTTTTTTTTTTTTTTTTTTTTTTTTTTNTTTTTTTTTTTTTTTGATTTGTACTGTACAAGTACAGGTATCAAGTTGGGCAACCAAATGACCAAAATTCATTCTTCCATTCTTTTCCATTATTAGCGGGGTATACATAATGTTGCTTTGCAATTATATATTTTGTTTTCATTTCCTGTTGAAAAACTTCATCTTGCTTGAAAATGTTTCCCAACCCTCACAAAAAAGTGAAAATTAATGTTGGCAAGAATATTTTTTGTTTTTCCTTTCAAGATTTTAATACTTTAATTTCACAGCTTTATGTTTTTATTAAAAAAAGACAGACTTCTACCTGTCCTAATTTACACACATGTTAAATTCATTTTCTCCATTCAAAACTGGTGATGATTTAATATGGCAAAGAAAATTTTCAAATATAAAGTTCTTTAATCTAATAAATTCTCCAAAACTTTATTTTATAAACATTAACATCCTGCCAGATTCGCCTGTAATGCTTTAAGAGCATATTAAATATCGTATATTCCGGCGTATAACGCGCACTTTTAATACAAAAAATAACATTGGAATTTACGGGTGCGCGGTATACGCCAAATATAAAAAATTATAGATTAAAAAAATTTAAATACTATAGAAAAATACTTTTATTTTAAAGAAATAACATACCTTTACCTATATACTTTATTGATTTTCGTTATTACATAAATAGTTCATTATATTCGTCTTCCGTTATTTCTTCAGGCACGTCATCACAATCTGTTTAATCTTCATCATCTGTGTTACCCTTATCCAAAAATAAACAGCCATCTTCTGATCCGACCAGATTATTTGAAATACTGCATTTTTTGAATGATTTTCTAACCATCTTAGGCTTAATTTCATCCCATGCTTTTAGTATCAATTCGCACACTGTTTCCAAACTTGTATGACGCATATGTCCTCCTTTCGTAAAGGTTTTCTTGCCCTCCAACATCCAAGTGTTCCACTGTATTTTTTAAATTGGCTTTAAATGGTTTGTTTAAGCATACGTCCAATGGCTGAACTAATAGTGTCATTCCGCCCGGAATAACTGCCATATCGGTATTACATTCTTTCAACAATTTTTTTGTATTATCTGTAAGGTGGGACCTAAACATGTCCCACACTAAAAGGCTTTCTGGTTATCTATTGATACTAGACGAGATATTGCACATGTACAATCCAAATTTTCGTGCACGTTATACGAAGATTATATCTTAAAATTTAAAGAAAGTTAATAGAAATTATGGGTGCGCATTACACGCCGGGGCGCGTTATGCGCCGGAATATACGGTATATTTTATTGTTATGGATGAGGGATATTTAATAAAATGCACTTATAAATTTAAAACACCTTTTTATAAAGAATAGGACTGGAGTCTTTCAAGATGTAAAGTAATTAATATTTTCAAAGTTCAGCTATAGAAGAAAAAAATTCAATGTTGAAAGCAAATGTCGTAATACATTTGTTAATGCATATTTATAAGATTTAATGTTATATCATTTCTTTGAAAAAGATTGTAAATGATTGCGCACTTTATGTTTTTAGAGGCTGCTTATTTTGGATAATGAGATTTAATACTTAAATAATTTCAACTCTTATTTATTTCCAACATTACCTACATATATGTATATACTTTTAGGTAAGTAACTTCAACATCTATATTAGATTTAATAAAGTACCTAATATCTAGTAATATCTAGTACCTAATATCAGCAGACCAGCTTTTCCAAGCTATAATGTATTACCATTTATTTTATTAATCTAATTTTAATAATACACCATGTATCAGCTTTTGAAAATGTAAAATTTTTTCCTTACTAGACTCTGCTGATAATCATAAAAATGCTGATCTGACAATATCAACAAATATTTACTGTGAAACAAAGTCAAATCCTGATTCTGTAGAAAAAAGTAAAAAAGAGTCTTCTCCTACTATGAAAAGTTGTCCAGAAATTGAAGTAAAGAATCAAGAAGATGTATTGAAGGTTAGTTGCCTTTCCATCTGTTTTAATATTCATTTATGTTTAATTTAATATTAGATAGGTGTTAAATTTAAAAAGGCTTAACTTATTAGCTAAAGAGAAACTATTTTTTCCTTTGCAACTCAGGACTGGCTACTGTTCAGCTACTTAATGGGTACATTCATATTTACTTTTATTTTATTCATTCCAATTCCTGATATTATAATCAATTACAGACCTAATCACATAAACTAATTCAAATATGTTAAAAATTTATTATTTTATTGTACGAGTTCTTTCAACAGTCCTTAACTCTCAGATGCATTTTTATCCTCCAAAATCATATATATTTTTGTAAAATATACTCTAAACAAGCATATCGTTATTTTCCTTGTATGGTACTCAAAGAACTGTTGTAATAAATTTTTTCTGAAGAAAGAAAGAAATTCAAAGAAATTGGAAAATTAACAAGAGTAGGTTGATATATTTATGAGAAGAAAACAACCGCATCATGTTTATATAAATTAATTCCTTAAATATTTCTTTATCTGTTTCCTAAACAAACATATTTTATTTAGCATTTTTACTTTATTCAGTGTTTACTTTATTCAGTGAGAGTTTTCAGTATCTTGCTTAATCATTTATATTCCAAAACTGGCAGACAAATTAGGATTTTCATGCCATTTCAGTATTATTATTTGTTTTCTTTATTTTCAGTTACGCCAGGTGTCTGCCAAAGTATTTGCTATGAATGTTTACTACAATATTGTTTTTCTTTTAGGAGACGAAGAAATCTGAAGATGTAAAAGTGTGCCCTGAAATTGAAAATATGTATATTTATAAGGGACCAAAAGGTATGTTATAAACAATTTTAATTTGTTCAAAGCCATTGTATCTTTATAGTTTTCTCTTTAATATTTTTTCTGAAGTTATTTCATTTATCTTATAAGGAAAGTATCTGTGAATTTTAGTTCAAACATCCTAAATTGAAAAATGTATTTCATCTTAGATCTATTATTTCCAATGACTCTCTTTTCTCAATCAACTAATTTCTTTAAAATAATATACATATTAATAATAAACAAATTAGAACTTGCTGGTAACAGTTTGCTGAAATCTTTTTTTCGAGTGAAAAATGATAAATTAATTTAATTTCAACTTTGTAATTGATAAAGAATAAAGTTATTGTGTACTAAAATGGAACATGAATGATAAACACTTAGTTTTCCTTACTTGTTTGTGCTCATTGTATTTCGTTTGACTGTTTATTGATAACTTGCATTGTATTTAGATGAGTATGAAGAGGATATACCAGAAGATTTAGGGTTAACTAAAGATGAACTTGATATCTACGATGGAACCGGATGTTTAGAAAGATTTGATAGGACTGAGAATTACATACTGGAATTTCGTGTTGATGGTACTGGTAATTTTAAACTTAGATGTAAAAAGATTCTTAATTAGTGAAAAGGTTCTTAAAAGTGAAAAATGATAAATTAATTTAATTTTAACTTTGTAATTGATGAAGAAAAAAGTTATTGTGTATTAAAATGGAATATGGATGATAAACACTTAGTTTTCCTTATTTGTTTGTGCTCATTTTATTTCTTTTGACTGTTTGTTAATAATTTGCATTGTATTTAGATGAGGGTGAAGATATTATACCAGAAGATTTAGGATTACCTAGAGATGAACTTGATTTCTTCGATGGAACCAGTTATGTAGGAAGAATTATTAATGAGACTGCGGAAAAGGAAGCCATACTAAACTTCACTTTAGATTTTTCTGGTAATTTTTAGCTTAGATAAAAAAAGATTCTTAATTAATTTGATATAAATTCTTTAGGTAATTTTTGATTAGGTGGTTGCAAATAATCTTCACAATTTATTTATATTACAGTGTGGGTAATGTTTTTAAAAAGTGCTTAAAGGTGCTTATTTTCAATTTTCATTTTTTAAAAGCCCTTAAAGGTGCTTTTTTTCATTGGGCGTTTTTAAAAAGTATTTAATTTTTTCAAAATGAGATTTTTCTTTATCATGTTAATTTTGGCTACAAATTATGCAAAAAGACACAGTTCACATTGTTCGATTTAACAATTTCACAATTCATTCAACCCCAATCTATTTTGGTGTATTGTTCATCCGTAGCGTATGAAAACGCCATTCGTTTTACATGATTCAAAATTTCATGATTTATGACAATTGTCAAAAACAATGACAAAAGCTTTTTTTTTCTGACATGACGGTTAAAACAAGATAAAACCATCAATTGTCAAAAGCTTTCCAAACCTGCCTAATTATATTTTTTTAAAATGCTTAAAAATATTTATTGAGTGCTTGAAAAGTGTCTAGAAGGTGCTTATTTTTTGTTGAATAATTTGGCTATGCACCCTGTATTACATAAAACAAAATGGCTATAACTCAAAATATTAAAATAAAAAATTTACTTTTGTTGGACACAGCTAATTGAAATATGCTGTATATGTTTCGGTGATGGGAGTGTAAGACGTCAAATGAAACAATATGGCAACCAATGAAACTTCACAAACTCAAATTAATAGGTTATTCATTAAAAAAACATTTAAAAGTTGTTATTAAAAGAACAATTAAAACTTAAACTTTCGGTTGTAAATATATCATACTGCAGGTGGGAGTCACCGGATGGAAATGGAATATTGGTACGAAGTTCTGGGACGCTGCACAACAAGTCTCTCGAAGGCAAACTGTCATCTGCTTAAGTACTGGACATCAGCCTTTTCACTCCCTGCCTTGGCCGCCGGTTGATGCTCCTCCCCCGGTATTCATCCGCGCAGGAAATATTTCGGTTCTTCCTCCTACCTTCGGTCTTCGATCCAATCCTCGATCCTTCTACCTCAGCTTTTCATGCTATCTGAGCTGTCGCAGTCGCAACCAACAGCCTCTACATATGCCTACTTTTATTTTAATGATGTTATCTTCATAACTTAAAATAATTTTAAGCAAAACAAATAGAGATTTTAAATAATTTTTTTAAGGTTATTATCGGCTAGAAAAGCACTAGTAAATTCAAGAATTTTTATTATTATTTATTCCAGTTTTTTATTTATTTCTTTTTATAAAACAAAATGTCTCTATCCAAAAACATTAAATAAAATAAAATAATGAATTTACTTGCATGCAGGTAATCAAATGTTACCTATACTTTTATTTTAGTACTGTAATCTTAAAATTTGTACATAGTTATATATATTCCTGCTCGTGAACTATAGCATATTTGCACTTCACAATCTTAAAGCATTGGAAAATTAAATTAAAATTGAAAATGTTAAATGAGCTGATGTTTTGTTTGAAGAACATTAAGTTAAAGTATGCTAGTTTTAAAAAAGAAAACCTTAATCAAGAATACATACTCTTTTATAATTAATGTGAACAGACATTTAAATATAGAAAAATAGAAGAAATAAGGGATATTAGATCAATCATATTCATTTTTAAAAATTAAATATATTTTTCAATGTGCGGATCTGATTTTGTACTCCTAAATTTGAAGCATCCACTTATGCACCTTTCATACATTTGCTTTCTGAAACACTTGATGCTTAGTAGAGGAAATTATTGAAAATTTGTCTTAAAATGTCATGAAATGTATTAAACAATTTACAAATTACACGAAACAGGGTTGCCACAGGCGACTAAAATGCAACTATTTGCTACTATTTTCGACCTTAGGCGACTATGGCGACTTTTTTTTGCCTGAAAAGGCTAAAAAAAGCAACTATTTTCAGGAATAAGCGACTATTGGGAGACTTTTTTACTTTTGGTGAAGTTTTTTCGCAAAAATGAACATTACTTTCCAGTCCCCTCACTAACACGTACGTAATGCCGCCTACCACGTGCCTGTGTTCAGTGACGTCATCACGCTAATTCCTCCCTTGTTATTTCACCTCATTGAAGAAAAAAAAAATCTGTGTTCCTTCATTATTTGTTCGTTCAAGTGGAAGTGAAGTTAGTGAAGTCAAGTTTATTTTTAATTGTATATCTATATGATGATTTTTTCTACCATACCAGTGTCCTCTTCATAACACATTTTAGGTAAGTGAGCTTTAGTTAACATGCATAGGTAAGAAACGTAGTTTGAGTTTTTTTATATTTAAAATGATTAATTATTTTCTTAAATAAATAAAAAATTAAGTGATATTTTGTCGTTTTTAAAGTGGCATTTTTTTAATAATTTTTAAATTTATTGTTTTAATTTTTTATAAAATTTCCTTTTTTTATTTCATTGATTTTATTAAAATAAGGATAAATAAAGCAAAATTTATTTTTATTTTTACTTTCGGTACTGCACATATTTTTTTTTCTTCCAATAAATACGAAAAAGGCTAATGTTTTTTAGATTTAGTCTATTAATTAAAAAAAAAACACTATTTAAAAAAATTTATACTAAGTTAAGGGATATATTAAAAGTAGCGGTATTTAATAATCCAGAAAACCGGGAAGAATTTTGCTTGGTTTTCCCGCTATTTTGAAGTATAACGATTATGAAAAGTAAAAGAAAGTGGAATTAGATCCAGAGGGGTTAGGGAAGGGACAAATGTGTTTATTTTCTCCTGTGTGTCGGTTGTTTTTCTGATAAGCTGCTGTCAATCAAACTTAAAGGAGTGGTATGCTGATTTCGTTTTCTCTTTGATTTACGATGGGGTGGGGAAAATGTGTTACACACGCATATCAATGAATGTCCGAATTAAGGAACTTGAAACTTCTAGCTAAGAGTGTTGACACGTGAGATTTATTTTAAATCCACTTTAGTTACTCAGTTATCCTTGATTTATTATGATGAATTGCTTTATTATTTCCGATAATACATTATTTATTATGAGCAAAACGTTTTTTAATCACCAGTTATAATCATCTATTTGCCATCGATTAACAAAACAATTTTTTTTTTGTTGAATAAATTAGGATTTTTTAGAAATGCGGTATCATTAAGTTTTCTTGATGTGAAATCACATCTGCTTTCGTTAAAAATGGTCTTTTTATAAAAATAAAATAAAAGGAGAAGATTGTTGATTAATTTAAGCATATAATTATTTGTTAATAAAAGCAGGCAATTATTTTATGAAGCAGATAGCAGCTTTCTTTTTTTTTAAAGTATATATTTTTTTTTCTAAAGTGAAAATTTCTTTGATTTGTTTTCTACTTTCGCTTTTTTTTCTTTTAATTTTTAATGCATGTATGTAAAATATATTGTTACAGTATTATTATTTTTAAACCAATAAATCTTAAATTATTTTTTATTTAAGAAAAATGAAATAAAGCTTGGGTTTGCTTTTACTTTGACTTCTTTACTATTTTGATTGAAAAATTAAGCAATGAGATTGATGTTATAGTAGAATATGTTTAGAATTAATATTTTCTTTTGTGATATTTATTCCTTTTTATTTATTTTTGATTGATTTAAAGATTTTCCATAGGTAATTTTTCAACATATGCTAAATCGCGATACATCGCTATATCGCGACGTCTAGGAGACGATGCATCATGATTTAAAATTTCTGATATCACCCAATCTTAATTGTGGCATTTGACAATTAAGCTATAGTTTTAGTTATTTGGCTACTAATTTTGATAAATTTCTGATATCACCCAATCTTAATTGTGGTATTTGACAATTAAGCTATAGTTTTAGTTATTTGGCTACTAATTTTGATAAATTTGTGTTCCTGTTTAGGCGACTATTTTCATAGTTTTAGGCGACTATTTTTATGCTTGAGGCTACTAAAAGCAACTATTTTTTATCATTTTTTACTGTAGCAACCCTGAAATATGTTTTTTTCCTAAATTCTGAAAAAAATAATTTTATCTCCTAATTATTTGAACTTGCCTACTATTGATTAGAAATTGGTATAATTTAACTAACTGCTTTTATTATCTTTAAATTTTTATCTAATTTTACTTGGATCTGATTTTTGATTTTTTAGTAAAAATTTTAAAGATGTTTTACAAATTTTGCCCTAAAATAAAGTTGTAAAATTAAATGAAACAAGGAAATTGAAACTTAATTGGTATTTTTTGTTATTTACTTTCTTGTATCTGATTTTGTTTTTTTATGATTGGTTTTGTAATAAAATTTAAGTAATTTGTAATTAGTGTACTATTTTAAAGTTTTAACAAAGAGAAAGATTCAAAAAAAGGCTTTGTTTTATTGAAGAGTTTTGAAGTTTCAAGTGCTTCTTAGGTAATGGCCACAGTTTTAAATTTAGTATAATTAGCTTTTTTAACTATTAAATTGATATGCGTAATAGTAAACTTATTTCAAATAAGCCTCTAAATACATTTTTTCATAAAAATTCGGACTACTTCTTTTTTAAAAATTCAAGTAAAATCTTCATGTAACTTTTTGTTATCTTTAAAATTAATACAAAAGGTTTGTGCGCAATATACTGCTGTACTTACAAATCTTGAAACATTGATAACAATTTGCGCAATTATGATAAGTTTAAACTTTTTTTTTAAAAAAAAAATGCTTTTCAGTTGTTATCTATTTGAATTGTTTTAATTATCTATTGAATATAGATTTTAAATTTTTTTAATTTGGTACTAATTTTTTAAAAATTGCATAATACCTTTGAAAAGTCCCTGAAAAAAATCTTAAATTCTTAAATTATCCTAATAATTATTCTTAATTAATTCTTAAATTAATTAAAATCTTAAATTATAAATTACGGTGTGAATCCTGGCGCCAGAAAATAAGGCATTATAAGTCTAGCACATTCCTCATATGTCAAATATTCAAGAATTTTTAAATTCTGGTTAAAATTGTGCTTGTTTAAAGTGTGAAAATTTGCCACATTTTCATACTTTTATCCTAATAATCTTTTTTCCCCTGCTTTCTTTGGAAAAAGAATTAGTTTCTCTGAAATGCTAATCACTTAATTTCATTAAAAAGTCATCAATGTTCAATTTGCAGAACAAGCCATTAAATATTCTGTAAAAAGTTTTCACGGGTGACCTAAAAGAAAATCTTAACTTCCCTGGCTTGTAATATTAAATTTAAACTGGAAAGAATGTTACCTTTTTTGAGCAAGTCTGTTAATAAGAAAAAGTATTAATATCTGATTACTAAGAATTGTAGGAATTAAATTTGCACTAGAAATATAACATTTGTATTTCTATTTTTCAACGGTATCATAGTCGCTCAATTTTTTTCCTCTTTCTAGATTTCCATACTCCTCCATCACCACCTGTGCCTTAAAAAAACGTGTTTGTTGAAATACCTATTCCATTTAATCCCTTTCCAAGTCTTCATACAGACTAGAATTGAAATTTTAACAGAATTTTTTCACTTCATTTATAGACACTTTTTTTTTGACTAAATATATTTATTTTAGTCAAAATTTTGTATAAATTACCATAAAATTTTTCAAATTATTTGTACCATTTATTGTATATTTTATATTAATAATAAGGATTTTAAAATAGAGTATTTGAAAGTTCTTATTATTCTGTTCTTACATTGCTATATTTCCTCTATAAGAAATAGAGCTTATTTCCAGTGCAACTGCCAGAAATTTTGTGTATCAAAATTGGCTTTTACAAATGTTCTTTGAATTATGATATACCACTTAAATGGAAGAAATCTAACATGGTGTTTACACAGTTGTAAGCTTCTTTCACTTACCAGAAATTATTAACTTATAAAAAATAAAAATTTTACCCATTAGTAAGTGGAAAAGGTGTAAAGCTTAATTCCTTTTTGAATGCCTACTAGTGTTCTGTTTTGGTTGTACTGTGTTAAGACTCTATTCGAAGAAATTTAACATAGTGTTTGTACCCTGTTTAATTTCATGTACTGTTTCATATGTTATACCATGTAAGTAGAAGAAATTAAAAGTTTACTTTTTTGAATAAAAATGTTCTATTCTTTTAATACTAGTAGTAGTAAGCATCTTGGCAAATAAAAATGTCTTCTTATATAAGTAAACTGATTTCAACAATACATTAATATATATATATTTCATGTGTGGAACTATCATAAACAGTGTTTCTGGTAAGTGTTAGTATTTCAAAACTCACACATTTTTTCTGATTCTTTAATGCAGCTGTTAGCCTCAAATGCTACAACTAGTTGTAAATTTGACTGGACTTTCAATCTCCCACCATTAGAAAGTATGATAAATGAACTTTTTATTTTTTCTTAAATAATGGCAATTATTTCCTTGTTATATCAAAAATTATTTCTCATCCAAGGGACATAAAGGTGGTGCATATGTAGTTTGAAATCTTAATTTTATATAATTAGTGAGCTAATTATTTCAATTGGAAAAAATTTTTCAGCAAGATATTTTTCAAAAAATACTTTTTTTAATGGCTTGTACAGGGTTGGCAAGTTTTGACTCATGATGGTTTTTACCGATTTATACCATGGTTTTTACCGTCATGTCAAAAAACCCTCTGTCAAAAACGTCTAAAACCATCAAAAACCCATAGTTTTGATAAAACTGTATTTTAATTTGAGTTTAACTGTTTATGATTTAAAATTAATTCATTTTCGGGCAATAAAATTAGAAAAAAAGTTGTTAAAAGATATTTAAGAACAGATTTTTGCATTTTCCCAACATGATTACTATATCAAATCATACTATTTGAAGTAAAATATTAGGATACTAAACAAAATTTTCAACATTTCCAAGCATCATTTTGTTTGGCATATTACATTACTGAAGAATGTCAAGTCATTCCTGACTTAGAGTTTGTTAGTAGTTACAAGTTTTGAAAGTTTTGTTTAGCTTATTTCTAATATTTCAGAAATGCCAAACTTTAAATTCTTCTTTTTAGTTCTTGAATTTATTAATAGTTCCAAGTATTTTTGTTTGTTTGTTTATTTCTAACAATTAAGAAATGCAAAATTTTGAATCCTTTGCAAATCAAGCTACAGTGAAACCTGCCAAGTTGACCACCCTTGTAAGTTGGGCACCTGCATAAGTTGACCTCAATTATCAAGAATGGAATTTTTCCTATATAATATAAAGGAGCAAAACCTTTGTAGCTTGACCACCTGTCTATCTTGTAATTTGACCACTGAAATAAGTCAATTTTGTCTGGGAGTATTATGAAATTCTATTCTAAAACCCTCATAAGTTTACCAGAAGAAAAAAAATTCAGAAAATTTTCTGTCATTTTTGCAATGTATGTTAAAATTTCACTTGTTTGGTGAAATAGTGTAAAAAGCTAATCGAAACCTTTTTGTGAGTTGACCATCAGGGGAAACTGTAAGGGGTCAGCTTTTGACCATTTCTTTCATCCGTTCATTGAAAACAGGTGTGTTAGTTGAAAAGTTGCTCTTCCAGTTGCAATAGTGAGCATTTGAATAAATGAATGCTCTGAAATATGCTTTGATATTTTATTTATGGTCTTTGATCTTTCAGTGTAGTAAATAAATTTTAAAGTATTCAAATAATTTTATTTTGTTGAAGTTTTCAAATTGCATGTTTTCGTGTTCTGATATTTTAAGAAATTATACTTATTAAACACTTCACATGCATAACTAACAAAATAATTTTTTTAGAAAAAATTAGTTAAATAATAGAATTATATGTATCAAATTGAAGTTCATTCAGGTTTAAACACATTTAAGATATTCATTTGCATATTTTCTGAATAAAATTTTTAAGTCAAGTAAAAAAAAAAATTAAATATTATATAAAAATTTAAACATGATAAAGGAAACGAAAAAGTAAACAATGACCCGCCCCCTCTATAAGTTGACCACTAAAACAATGCACCACAAGTAGTCAACTTGCACAAGTTTTACTGTATAATGATAAAGGTTAAGTATCACTATTTCCAATAAGTATGTCACAATATTTCAGTATGAATGTATACCCTTCTATAAGAATACATGTATATAGTTGCAAAATCAATAGCAATCATTTACAACATTCATTTATAAAGGCAATTAAGTGAAAATAATATATTGTCTGCTATGTGCCATAAATTAAAGAAAACACTAGGTTTTTGACGGTTTTTACCGGTTAAAACACGGTTTTTACCACTGGTATGGCAGTTTTTGAGGGCAAAAACCCAACCCTGGGCTTGTACCAATCAAGCCATTATAATTTAATATAATTTTGTAAAAATTTTAAATAATTTGCAAAGTTATTTGAAAATCCACTGCTTTATCTTTCCAATTTAATATGTGGAGAACCGAAATCCCTATCAAATGTTCTCAGACAGAAATCTATATATATATACATCAGCTGTGAGTTTTCTAGAAACTTTACTACCAGATTTTTAAATTTTTTCCTGAGCACTGGTCTACTTTTAAATCAGGGTTCCCATGGTCCTTAAAAACTGCTTAATTTTTATTTTAGAAAGTAAGGACCCTTAAAAGTACTTAATTTTGGTACAAAGTTCTTAAGTCTTAATTTTTCAGCATCACTATAGTTGATAGGAATAATTTTTCAGTTCTGTTCCTAAAACAAAAAGTTCTTTTATCATCTAGAATCACACCTTGAAGACAAGTAGAGGATGCGTGGGAGGGGACTACAAGCAGGGGGAATAAAGCATGTCCTTTAGTTAATATTTTAGTTCTTTCATTAATATATTCTGCATTTTGCCTAGACTGATACTCCAAGGGAACTACTGCGCATGGAAAGGTTTTTCCTTTTTTTGGGGGAGAGGTGGGACAATTCTAAGGTACCTAAGTAGAGGACCCACACTGACCTTCAAAATTGACAGAATTCAAGAAATTCAGTTTTACTAGTAATGCATCTGCTTATAGGAATCAAGTAAAACCCTAAGAAAAGATGTATCAAAAAATTTTTTTGAACTAGAATCCATAATGAAAACTATTTCCAAAACTCTTAAAGAATTAAATAAATTTGTAATAAGTAACTATAAATTTGTAGAAAACAGTAGCATTTTTTAAAATTCATGATTGTACTAAAATTTAAACAGGTGTGTAATATATAGAGTTTAAAACATTTCAGCCGACCTAGGTTTTTCATAAAAAAAAAACCTGGGGTTTATTGGGTTTTTGATGAAAGCCTTCAAGTTTTTTCAAATTTTATTCCTGAGTATGTACGTATGATTTGCTTCAAACAAGAAAATTACATATTTGGTAACTATAACTTGTTTTGTTGCAATGTGAAATTTGTTTAAAAAATTTTTGATTGTTGCGCTTTTCTTTTTTAAGGATAAGCAGATTGTTACATAAAAATTTAAATCTACTCAGTTAAAAGATCCAAAACTTTCTGTTATTAATGCCTTAAATTCAAATTTAGATTTTAATAATCATTTTATTCAGTTAACGTTACAACTTATACTGTTTTTTTTTTTAAATTTTTATTTAACTTTTGGTTGCTTTAAAATTAGTTCATGTTTTTCGCCAGATTGTTAAGTAATATTAGATAGAATTAGAGGTTGGGCAGCTCTGAAGAACAGGGCACATCGACCAGAGGTCTATTGTACCCAAACTCTAAATCATGATTAGCAAGAAAGCCTTATGGTTGAAATAAAATTCAGCATACACGTTACAGGAACATCCTTGCAGTTTTTAGGTCTTAATGCAGTGTTTCCGTAAGTGCTCAAATCTTTGAGCAGAGTGGACTTCATTATCACAAAGTATATGTCGTGAAGTTTCCTCTTCAAGATAACCTCTACATAGAGGATTCGATTCAATACACATTACGTATTATAGGTGTCTACTGAGGATGCAGTTTCCACAGTGAGAACACCAATGATCTTCCTGATAGTAATATTATGTAAAGTTAATTCCTATGAACAGTTTTGGCTGGAAATAATTTTATGTAAAGCTCATCAAAGTAAATATAACACAATTGCTGTTTAGTAATAATTTAGAAATTGTTAAGTTGCACACCGTTTTTAATAGGTTTTTCTTAATATTTTTCAATATTATTTTACAAAAGTTACATGATAAGGTGATATTACATGTAGTACCGTCTTTACACATTGGCAAGCTAGGGCAGTGTCCTGGAGCCCTTGAGAATCTTACTTTTTTTAAAAATTATATTAAAAAAGCTAAGAATTAGCAACATTACCTTATATATTTCTAAAATAAATATCTTCCTGCAAGTAGTGATTGTTTATCATGCATACACCAATAATTTGAATAGTTTATCACCAAGAAAACTTAGAGGCAACAGAAATCTATTTTTCTACGTTTCAATGAAACTTTTAGGTTCTTGGGTATTGTAAGATGCTTTACTAACTGTTTAGTTTGACAAAATAATTCATACCTTTTGAATTTTTTTTTATTTGTTATACCTTTATATTTATTTAATTTAATTATGTTAATTAACTTCCAAGGTTTTGAGAGTTATTTTATTATATGAGGATTGCAACTGGTAAGCGTCTCAACTTCTTTTTTAAATTATGCACAGTTTAAAAATGCTTTGAGTTTTTAAGGTAATCAAAATTTGTTTAAATTTGTTAAAATTATTGCATTGTATCTTAAAAATGCTTTATTTTATGCATGTGAAGTTTTTTTTAAGTTCTTTTCTAAACATTATGGCATGTTATAATGTTCTAAAACAGTTTTGCTGTGGGTCAAGCAAAAAAAAAAAAAAATTACTGTTTATTGATGCTGATATGTGTACTTTGATATTTTCCAATTAGCAATCGGACATATTTAGAAAACAAATTTCCCGACACAGGTTTCTTTTTTAAAAGATGACCAAAATGACTTAAATCAAGAATTTTTAAGTCAGCCTATTGCCTAAGTTTTAAGTCTATTGCCTTACTGCCAATATCCACTAATTACTACTCAAGTAATTAGTGGATAGTCCCTAAAAGTGAACTTTAGCATGTTTGAAATTTGATCTAAATTTATTAATCCTTATATTCTTTAAAAAAAAAAAAAAATCTATTTGACTCAAAATTAATGGGATTAC